TCTCTTGTTGGTGAGTGCACAAGTTGAGGGTGATTAGTGGTAACAAGTCGACTCTTGAGGTAGGGTGCTTGTGGATAGGTAGTTTGAGTTGGTTGAATCGCCTTATGTATACCTGGGCTTATTAAAAATAGGAAGAATGTGAAATTCGTGTGTTCATGCTCGATTGCCGGTATCGACCATAGTCAAAAGGTAGAGTGTGTGATTGAATTAAATTTGAATTGCTCTCTCCTAGTGAGATGTATGTTTTGGGGTATTGATATAGTTCCATTGCTCGAGGACGAGCAATAGTCTAAGTGTAGGGTGTTGATATTCGGCTTAAAGTATGCATATTTTTATGTATATTGCCTCGCATTTTGCTCATGTCTCGTAGATTTCATACGTGCAATATAATGATTTGTGCTAATTTATGGTATTTCTATTTGAAGATTAAATTGACGAGTTTAATTTTATCATATTGGATTATTTATTTAATTATGTTCTTAATTATTTTGCTGCGTAGCTAACAGTGAAATACTACTTACGAATCTAGAGTTGAACTAAAAAGTGAGAATTCTAGATTGCATATAGGATTAAATATAACAAGTTCTTGAACCCGGGCATCGGGAAATGGATTTGCAATTAGGATAGAAATATACCTAGCTAATTGTCTTGCTTGGTTGAAATACAAGAAGTGTAAATGCATTCTTGTTAGTCTTAATTCCATATACATATAGGTATTAAGTTAGCCTGAATAGGCGAGTAAAAACTCGACAGATTCTTATGAGTAATATTAATCATGTCAATCAACAAACCAGATAAATCAATTAGTCAGTTTAAGCCAAGAACGCAACAAGATTATTAGCTAGCCTATGACTCTGGAATATCCTCTGCTACTGATTTTTATCTGAAATTGCCTGCGTGTTTAGTCGATTTGTAGTTACTTAACTGCTTGCTAGTTTCTTTTGTAGTTAATTAATCACCTACACATTTTGTGAAAAATCTCTTGAATAGATAAGTTGTTTGAGTTTGAATCAGTCAAAAGTTAATCATAAGTCTATATGGGAATGATACTCTACTCACTACTTTATTATTTGACGATCACGTATACTTGCGTGTGTGTTTGGTCACAACAGATTCAACGGCAAATTTAAAACTCATAAACTTCAAATTCTAGCCGTTTCTAGTCACAATAAATGCTAGTATTCGTATCATTTGTATTGAGTGTTACTAGAATATATCTTTGCTAGATTCTATCGATGTTCAATATTTTGCTATAACTGTTACACCACAATGCTACTCCCTCCTCGTACATTGATTAAATTGAGATAAAAGAATAAGAAACTTCAGAATACTTCTAATTAAAGAAAAACTTTAGATATTTGTGGGTCTTTGCTCCAATTGGTTTTGCTCTAAACTCTATTTCTCACACGTCTCTATATTTAATTTGACAAATTCTTGGGCTCACATGCCACAATGACGTTTCACTTTCGCTTGCAAATTGTCAAATGATTCCAAGTTTGTTCGTTAGCACCTAAGCACTGTGGTCTACCATTTGTACCTTATAGCAATGTATCCACGACTACAAAGTTAGGTTCTCTAAATTAGATCAATTCACGTCACAATCAATTTTTTTTTCCATCATTGCTTATGGGTTTAGAAACCAGCTAGCATTGTTTACACTATATAAATTAAACAACAAAGTAATACATTGCTGAAGTTGAATGAAATGCTTATTAATTAATACAGGTATATCAGAAAAAGTACTAATCATCATTAGAGGTGCATATATAGGACAAAAGAAGGTTAGGTGATTCCACATTTGTATAAGTTTTTGTTCAATTATTAAAAATACCCTTAAATTTTGAAAGTGGCTTTGCATAGTAAATTAATTCCTTTTCTTTAGAGATAAACTTGGTGCATTCATGATCTCTCGTTAATTCCCATAATCACGGACATTATATAGGGTAGGAAAGTGGCTATGATCTGCCATTTCTTTTTAATATATAATCAATCATGCATAATTTATGACCAACCAAATACGTGATAAGACTTATTTAAAACTTTTTCATTATTACTATTGCCCTTTCAAGAATCTAATCATGCCTATGCTCTTGTAAATTTTTTATTTTATTTTAAAATTTCAAAAGTAAAAGTAGATGTAACAGGAGTAGGAAGGAAGGGACGGATGACGAGGAGAAGATGCAGAGCTTGGTCATCCTTTATGCACTTAGAAGAAGAATTTAGAGTTTTAAATATTTTTTATATTATTAATGTAGTCTGAACTTTTTATACTTAAGTTAGTTACTATCATTTTTATTAAATTATCAGTTTTATTTTATTAACGTCTAATTATATAAATATATTTTTAAACTATCGATGTGTAACTTAAAGTTGAAGTTCCTCTCACAAGGTGACAGAGAATTGGACAAGAGTGCTTTCCCCCCTTAAAAAAAAGTGCTACGCGATGCAAACTCGAATTTTTCGGGCTTCAATATAGACACTGAACTCCGAATGAAAAAGAAAGAATTGGGGAAGGGAAGACGAGTTGAGAGAGAGTGTTGGATTGACAGAAAAAGATTAGGAAGAAACAATCATCATTGGTAAGAACCAGATTATACTGTGGAAGGGGCCACCATGATTCCATAAAGGGAGTTTCACATGTCACCCCGTCCTTTCAAAAGGTTCTAAAAATCTCACAAAAACTCTCTCCTTTTTTTAAAATGTTTTTTAAAACCTTTGCTCTTTGCCCCCTCTCATAGTGCCATTCCCCAAGAATTCACTATCATTGGTATTTTGAACGGAAATTATGCTATACTCAAATTTCTCTATATCTACTTTGATAAAGGACCACGCCCTTGGCCCACTCATTGCTCTTTTTTACTTGCTTTTCTTTTAACCCTTAATTCTATGTCGAAGAAGGGGTGGTCTTTTTATTTAGGGCCCGTTTGGCCATAAAAGAATTCACTTGTTTATGGAATTTATTTTTCAATTTTTTGCAAAATCAATATTTGGCCATGAAAATTTCAAGTTCAGTAGAAAGATGTCACACATCGTATTGGGGCGGGATGGATGAAATGGAGACTCGCTTCCTGTGTTTTATGTGACAAGAAGGTGCCACCGAAACTTAAAGGTAATTTCTAGAGAGTGGTAGTCAGACCGACTATTTTGTATGGGGCGGAGTGTTGGCCAGTCAAGATCACTCATGTCCAGAAGATGAAGGTAGCAGAGATGATGATGTTGAGATAGATGTGCGAGCACACCGGGTTAGATATGATTACGAATGAGGTTATTCGCGACAAGGTGGGCGTGACCTATATTGCGGACAAGATACGGGAAGTGCGGCTTAGGTGGTTTGGTCATGTGAGGAGGAGGAGCACAGACGTCTTGGTGAAGAGGTGTGAGAGGTTGACATTGGAGGGTCTACAGTGAGGTAGAGGTAGGCCGAAGAAGAGGTAGAGAGAGGTGATTAGGCAAGACATGGCGCAGCTTCAACTGGCCGAGGACATGACTCTTGATAGGAAGGTATGAAGATCAAGGATTAGGGCAGTAGGGTAAGTAGTCTAGAGTGTTCATAACAGTAGTATTGGAACGCAGTCTCCATTTCTGTTGGTAGTAGATTTTTATGAATAACGGTTGTTTTCTTTCATTGTTGATCACCTTACTATCTTATTGCTTTTATTCTGCTTTTATATGTCTTTTTGGCGTTGTCCCTTGTCTATATTTTTATTAATGTGATGCTTATACTTTCCTGAGCCGAAGGTCTATTGGAAATAATCTCTCTACCCTCACAAGGTAAGGGTTAGGTCTGCGTACATACTACCTCCCCAGACCTCACAGTGTGGGATAATACTGGGTATGTTGTTATTTAAAATTCCAAGTTCTAACTTGAAGTTGAATTTAGGAAATTTTTGATATTCAAAAAACTCCATAAAGCTTTTCTTTCACAATTTTTATTCCAAATCACTCAAAAAAAATTCAAAAATAACTCCAATTTGTATTTATGTCCACACACAACTTTAATTTTCAAATACCATTTTAACTTAAAAGAAATTTTACTCCCACTTAGTTTTTACTTTTTGGATTTTTCAATGTTGTTGTGGTTTGTCTTTAAAATTCAAAATCAAAGGGCTAAAATTAATCCCATTCTATTATGTTTTGGTGGGAGCACACTGATGATTAAATCATTAAAATGTACACCTCTATAGAAAACGGACATAGAAGGCGTTAATTCGACGTATCATTTTGAGGTGATTTAATGCGAGAAAGCATAGCAAGACTCACGACGCATGTAAAATCAGCTAATTAATGAAACAGTGTTGATTTATTTTTCTTTTTAATTTGTTCCTTTCTTTCCTTTTTAATCTTATTATTATGGGAATTTTCATTATGGACCACTGTGACAAAGAATTAAAATGTGGAAGATTACTTGAAAGAAACAACACCTACGTACATAACACTATAGATACATGTGTAAAATAATAAATATTCATTTTGCTACATATGGCAGGAAAGGAACTACAAGATCTTTTAAAAGAAGCAATGCAATCCCAGTGGTTAACAGGGATGCCGATATTAACAGGAAGAATAGTAGGACTTAATTTTATCCTTAGATGCTAAAATTGTATTAGAGTGAGGTGCATTATTGATTATTGAGGAGCTGCTAAAAATATTCGTTGCCTGACCCACGCCAGTTCTCAAGTATGATTTTTAACAATAAATGAATTTTCACAATTATAGGGATACCTCATTGATAAAAGCAAGAACTAAGAAGATAAATGGAACTCAAAAATTTTTGTAAGCAATCTACCAATTTTTAATAATATCATAAAGAAATATTAGTACAATTTATGTCATAGCCACGTGTATATAATAAGCTACATATAATTAAACAAAATAAAACCATACTTACTAAATGAAATTAAACTCATAACCTAGATGAACAAATTCATAAATGTATTTTGCCACATACATTGTCAACACTTCCAATATTAATGTAATATATTAAAAAAATATTATTAGGGTCAGCCAGAAGGGCAAGTCCATGAACCTACTGTTCCTTCACCTGCTGAGCAAACATAATTTTCAAAACCCTTCTCAGGATGGAATTCTGATGTAGAAAATGACTGAATCTGATCATTCTGCATGTTGAACAACTTATTCTGTGCTTGTTTTGAAATTCCAATATCAGATGTGGAAGCATTTGTTCTACCAACCATGCTATTATTTAATGCACTACTAGATGGTGGCATAAATATTGGAGAATCTTGAACCTTTTGTGTGGATGGTCTTAAAGTAAAAAGAGGTCCCAAATTATCCAAATGGCCTGATCTTATGGCTGAGGTAGCAGTTGAGAAAAGATCAAGGCGGCGAGTGTAGGCTGAACCAGTAAACGGAGTTGTGGGGATCCCTGTGAATTCTTGAACCATTTGTCGAAAATTTGTAGTGTCAGTTGTTAGAACAGTTGTTGGCGCCCGCCTCGATGCCCTGCTTCGTTTCTTTGGATTTTTTCCCACATTAGGCTGATGATCAATGCTTGATTTTATTGGTATTGAATTATAGTTTGGAACTTGAGTATTAGTACCCAAAATAGCATGATTAGTAGCACTTGATGATGAGGAATTTAAGTTTCCAAAGTTGTTGAAATTGTTATCGGATCCCAATGATTTAGGCCAGAGAAGATCATTGTTGTACAGAGAATTTGCTGAATCTTGGAAATTGGAGTTGAAATTTTGTGAGTCATGAGGATCAAAGAGAGTGGGTTGGTGAGAAAGAAATTGTGGGAGTGGATTTGATGAGATTGAACCAAAATGGGCTGAAGAATTCAAGAAAGTTGAGATTGAGCCCCCATGTGAATCATACTCTTCATCACCACCACCACTTGAAGATTGCACACTACCACTATTTCCAGAATCCATTACTCCTATTAGGAACAAAAAAAAAGGTGAAAGAAAAAAAAAAGGAAAGAGATAGTGATAGTTGAAAAGTTAGGAGAAAGAGAAGAGATGAGATTCTTAAAAGAGATTGTTCAAGAAAGGAATATGAAAAGTGAACCAAAGAGGAAAACCAAAGAACTAAAGAGAAGTTTTGATAAAGTATATATCCTTATCTTGAAAGATCTGACGATGATCTAATATTAGGAGCTGACTTATCAAATTTGTCATTTGCTTCTCATTCCTGGACCACAAGGTTGTTCTCACACAAGATCAGGAAACAAAAACAAAAAAGCATGTTGGTTTTAAAGTGCAGAGATTTGAGAGTCTTGAATTTATCATACATATTTTCTGCATTATCTCTTTCTTTGTAAGCTCTGTGGATTAGGGTTTAGAATGAAAGGAAAGAGAGAAAGGAATGACAGAGAGAAAAAGGTTAAATATATAAGGCTTTGATCAGAAGGGCTCTAAAACAGAAAGGAGAAATCAATTATACTACACAAACGAAGGGGAGGGTGGTTAGTGGGGTCTCCACTGAAAGGATCCTTTAGGGTAATAAGGTGTTTCGCTAAATTTACAAGGTGGTCAAATTGGCTTATAAGCATTTTTAGGCTTATTTATATGTTTGATAAATACTCAAAGTGTCTATAAGCCAAGTGTTTATAATCTAAAATCAGCCATAAGTCATAAGCTGGTCACTCTCAACTTATGACTTTTCAGCTTATAAAACTTTTAGTTTGACCAACACTTTTACTAGTTTATCCTTAATAATATTTTCTAATTCACAAAATACTTTTCCCAAAATAAATTTCTTGACTTTCTGTTCATTCCATATTCGTTATTAATTCTTTTCTTTACAAAAAAATTTTTAATTTATAATCTTTTGAAAATAATTCAAGGGTATTTTAGTCATTTTAATAAAAGAATAGCTTATTAACAGTTTTTAATCAAACACATCAACTGCTTATTATTAGTTTCAGCACTTCTATCCAAACACGTAAATGCTTATTTTAAAAATCAGTTTCAATACTTAAAAAAATTTTCAGCACTATAAGCTTATCAACTATTTATAATCAGCTAATCCAAACGGGTTCTAAGTGTGAAAACGAGAAAAGTTTCATGCAATCATCTAAGAGGAAAAAAAATTCCATCCAATTTTCGATATCCCCATTATAGCCCTGATAAAAAAGGGGAGTACTTCCATTTTATTGTTAGAACTTAAACTCAAAACCTTTGATTTGAAATAAAAAAAAATTATATTAATTCCATCATAATGACGAAACCAAATGTACTAAGAGTAATAAAATGAAAAGGTAGTTGCAAAATCCATAGTTTGAAGCAAAATATGACTCCTTTATAAAGTTTTTACTTCCATTTTAAATTTCATTAAATCTCAGAATTTCGGTATGCAAGAATTAGATAACTCAGAATTGTGAAACAAGATATGACTTTTGACATCTTTATTATAGTTACTTAGGTTACCAAACGAGAAAAAATCATGATTGCGAATTGTAATTAATAAACTTTTATACAATATCAACTAGCGTGTTTGCAATTTGTGGATAGTAAATCTAATTGTGTACTTGCAAGAAAAAGTGTTTATACCAAATAAAATAATTTAATTGTAAGAGTCACTCCACAAGCTAAAATAAAAACACATACTATCACTAACTATAGTCAATAATTAAAAATCATAAGCAAAACGCATGACGTGTATTTATTTGTTTTGTCTAAGCACCAAGTAAATATATATTTTCCCTGAGTTGTATATACAAAATAAAATAAGATGTACATAATGCAATCAGTCAATTTGAAATCAATTCAGTTTAAATAAGTGATAAATAATACTCTCTCCTTTTCAGTTTATATATTTTTGTTGGAGTACGAGGGCCAAACTAACAAATTTTAGGTGTGAATTTACATTAGAATTTTTAATTTTTTAAAATAAAATTTATATATTTAGAAACTAAATAAAAAGTACGATAAGTCAAAATAGTTAACAATTCAAAGTATTTAAAAAAATATTTACAAATAATGTGGTCAAAGTAAACTTGGTTAGACTCCCCCAAATAGTATTAGGCTCACATAAAATAGAACCTCGGGATGAAGTTCCTCATACTTTGAGCAAGTCACAATGGAGCTTGTTGGAAATTTGGTTCAAAACAGATCACAAATTAAGATAGTGATTAGTTTTGGGGAATATTTTACAGTCCATCGATGGAAATGAAGTTGGAATTTGTTGATAGCCATAATTACCTCTCTAAAAAGATTCTTACGTGCGTGTGTGAGGGAGCTAGAAATATTTTGATCATCTACATTATTATGCTCCCTTTGGACATTCGAATATTACCATGCCAAAGAACCTTATATCTAGCGTCATCACTAAATTAATAATATTTTGATGGATAGACCTCATAGAGATTAGTTTATCCACATTTTAGTTAGCTGCAACGATAATAATCACAATTATTTTTGTTTGTCTACTGATCGCTATTGCTAAGTTTGATTTTCCAAATGAGAAAATTACTCTCTATAACCCCTCAGAATTTTAATAGCCCATGTTTTTTCTCATTGATCCAAAATATCCCTCCTGCCCAAACATATTACATCTAATAGCCGGAAATGTCTATTTTGTATATTTTTTGTATAGTGACAGTCTATTTTGTATATATTTTGTATAATGACAGTCTATTTAGTATATTTTTTTATATAGTGACAATCTATTGTATATAAATTGTATAGTGACAGTCTATTTTGTATATTTTTTGTATAGTAACAGTCTATTTTGTATATATTTTGTATAGTGACAATCTATTGTATATAAATTGTATAGTGACAGTCTATTTAGTATATTTTTTGTATAGTGACAGTCTATTTTGTATATATTTTGTATAGTGGCAGTCTATTGTATGTAAATTGTATAGTGATAGTCTATTGTATATAAATTGTATAGTGACAGTCTATTTAATATATTTTTCGTATAGTGACAGTCTATTTAATATATTTTTTGTATAATGATAGTCTATTTTATATATATTTTGTATAGTGACAATCTATTGTATATAAATTGTACAGTGACAGTATATTTTGTATAGTGACAGTCTATTTTGTATATATTTTGCATAGTGACAGTCTATTTTGTATATATTTTGCATAGTGACAGTCTATTGTATATAAATTGTACAGTGACAATATATTTTGTATAGTGACAGTCTATTTTGTATATATTTTGCATAGTGACAGTCTATTTTGTATATATTTTGCATAGTGACAGTCTATTGTATATAAATTGTGTAGTGACAGTCTATTTAGTATATTTTTTATATAGTGACAGTCTATTTTATACATATTTTGTATAGTGAATACTATGCATTTTATAAAATTAATGATGCAACCATGTTTTGCACACGTTGATGCTCCACCACAGAGTTCAACTAATTTAATGTATGTTGTTTTCATACTCGACTCCTCTATTTAGNTATATATATATATATGGAAGAGGGCATGCTCGTGATAGTTAAGGGTTAATTTAACAAATGGTCATATAATTATGATCTTTTTAATCAAAGTCATACAATTTTTCTTACATAAAGATCATAAAAGCTGCTAGTAACTCACAAAAAAAAAAATGACCGAAAAATACAACTTTTCAATAGCATTTTTTTTATTTTTCAGTCTAACAAATAATAACCAAATTAAAATAGGAATGACCCAACCTAATAAAAATATAAATAAATTGAAATAATATTAAAATTGAATCCTTCCCTCAAAATACACATAACTTCTTTTTTGGAGTATTTTGCTTTTTAAAATTTTAATTATTTATTTTACTTACAGTATGGGCACATATTGAACTCATATAGGAAAAGGCAAAAAGTAACATTTATGAAAAAAAGTTTTATTTTTATATTCTTCACAAGTATATATAAAATATTAATATCTAAATAGCATAAAAGCCAAAAAAGAATGAAATAATGAATGATTCCCTTTGAATAAATTAAAAGCCATCTTAGAAGACATCTCCCATTGTATTTCCGTGATAGTTGGGTTTGTCAATTTCGGAGGCTAGTCGGTAGAATTAGTTTTGGGCTATAAAATATATATTATAATTTGTGACTACCGATTGTCATTAGTTTTTTCAGTATGGCTAGAAGTGATAATAGCTCTTTCCAAATCCTTGTATTCTTTGTGAAAGGAGGATGTAGGGTCAATCACAAGTTGATCTGTTATAGATGAGCTGGATCATGGGAACATTATAGAGCAAAATTCATTTATAGCTACTCGGGCCAAACTTATAACACCTGGTAGCCCAAAATTACAATATACATTTTATAGTTCAAAAGTAATTCTAGTGGCTTCTGACCCACAAGCACAAACACATGTTCACTGGAGAAATAATTTTCGACCCAAAATGGTTTAGCTGGAAAACTTCATCGGTCGCAGCAGTGGCCGAAAAATTCACGGTCGCCGAAAAAGCTATATACCGGCCAGATCTTCGAAAATCCAAATAACAAGCAAACCATCTTTTAGATCTAGATTTTCATAATATGAAAAGCCCCAAAAATAATATATAAAACGAGAAGAAAGAGTCGCCGGATTTAATGAAGGGTCACTGGTGTTTGAGTTTCAAAAACTCTTCCTCCTATTGTAAGAGGAAGTTGTATTCTCCTATTAGGTCTTTTTCTAGGTTTTGTAAAAATATACTAGTTGGGTACTTACAGTATCATGTGTTACCAGAACAACATATTGGGTAAAAGGGTATGACAGATTTAGGCGACAAAGTCCATTATTTGTCTAACAAATAATCTTTGCTTTTTGTATGTTGTACAATGTTGATGAAATGTTCACATTCATGAGCAGTGTGACACCTTTGAAGTTTTGTGTCACCACCCAAAATCCACTAAAAGTCGTGATAGCGCCTAACGCTGCCGTCAGGCAAGCCAACAATGATTTACCAATTTAATTACTCATTTTAGTATTTTTAA